AACTGAAACTATGAGTCTATTAAAAAATAACACCCCATTCCACCCTTGCCATAGCCCCTTGAAACCACTATTCTAATTTCTTTCTCTATGAATTTGGCTAGTCTAGGTACCTCATACAAGTTGAACTAATTTTGTGATGTTTATATTCTTTATCATATGTGGCCACAGAGTCCATGTTCTATTAGCTTAGTGATCAGCAAACCAAAAAACAAAAATAAAATAATAAAGAAAAATAAAAAATAAAGAAGGAAAGAATGATCTGCCAGTCTTTGCAGATAGGCTCTGTGTGCATGTTGGGCATGCCTTTAACACTCAGCCTGGCAGTTTACTACTCTGCTTCGCCATCTCTTCCTGTCTGGGCAGAGCAGAGAGTCAGCCAGAGGTGAGAGGTTAGGGCCTTCTTAGGTCTTTTCTGAGCATGCTCCCAGCTCTGGGAATGGGTGCGTACTTCTGGATTCTCAGGGATTTGTGGGAGCTTTTCAAAGTCCTTATTCACTCCATAGCATCTCACTCCCCAGGCTTTCCTTTTAAGCTTTTCATATGGTGTATTATTTACCTTAACTGTTATCCCTTGCCCTAAGGGGCAGTAGCTAATACATTTGCCTTCATGTGTTTTGACAACCCCCCCTCAAACCACTCTAGGTAGCCATGTCAGCCCTGGAAGAGTTCTGAGTTAGGTGAACCAAAGGCAAGTAAGTCCTTGAGCCTTCAGAGAGCCACCAGACAGGTCAAAGCAAACAACCATAATTCTTTGAGAATAAGATCTGTTCTGCTGTCTGTGATACTAGGAGCCAGTACTAGGAATGTAGGCTATTGTGAAGTGGGGTATGTTAAGAGTAGGTTAAAGTGTCACAAAGCTCTCTGACTGAGACTTGGCTGTTTTTGCTTAGTTAAGCCTTACCCTGATAGTTGTAAGCTTTTGGTTGGATTCCAGAGTTCCAAATAAGTTGGTTCTGGCAAGGGCCGGCCCATGGCTCACTCGGGAGAGTGCGGTGCTGATAACACCAAGGCCACGGGTTCGGATCC